ATAATTCGCAAATTCTAATTTTCGCGACGCGCTGGGATCGCAATATAGATTTTAATGTTTTTACAGCGTGCCGGAAATGTTCACGGGACCTATTTTTCGGAATTGTAGGCGATTCGCGAACTTTGCGAGAATTAGGTCCTCACGGAAATAAAGTCGTTTACAGTATTTTAAAGTGAAGAAACTGCCTTGATTCGCTTCGTCCTGAGTGGTGCTACGCAGAGATGCAATAACATGTATTTTATGAGCCGTTTGTGGGGATATTGTTTTAGGGACTGCGCCGAATTCTTATTAGTTGTACCAATGCTTTTTAGTAAGAGATATCGTCCACAAACTTCAAAACACTGTTTCCCCTTTGACAGACTCCCGAGGAGAAGATCGAATACTTGGAACCTTAATAAGCGCAGAAATGGTCACCGAAAAAATGATTACCTTCAATATGTAGGCTATATAAGGCTCTAGAGCAGTCATCGGGACTGTGAATGAGCTGTTCAGTGCGTCATGGTGTTTGTGTTTGTGTCCGTTTCTAATGTAGCTTTGTGAGATGCATTTAGTAGTGCCTTCAAATACCACAGGGACACCATTTGCCCACAAAATCGAAAATAAAAAAAAAATTGTGTAACCGGTTTTTAATGCACAAATGGCATCTTGACAGTGAAAGGATAATATTTTTGGTATATTTAAAATATTTTTTGATTCATATTTATGATGTATTTTGAATACCTTACGCGCGTATTTCGAATGCGGCCAAAATAATACAGAATAAATACAAAAGGAATATTTGTATTCAATATATTTCAACTTCGTTTGAAGTACGGTCTCTTTTTGCTAAGGGCTGCCGGATCTGCAGGGCGCATTTTATCAAGGGTACATCGATTTTACAGCACCCGGAAAGAGAGAAGAGGCTGCACGGACGAACAGCTTGCGTGCACGAGCTTTACGGCTACGTGTTTCAAGCCAAACCAAAACTGTGCATCACGAAGCCTAGTTAATTTCCAGCCACCTTCCCGCCTCGCACACAAAATGTTGAAGTTTCTGGCGTCGCACGATAGGTGGCGCGCACTATTTTGCAAATCCTGGATTAGCAGCTGTGAACGACAAATTTGATGGTGCGTGTTCAAATCGACTGTGACAAGTTTGGTGTCCTCGTGTTCTCGAAGCATCACCGCCGATATTGATAACCCTGACATTACTTTTATTTTCTTATTTCCGTAGATGAACAAATATTCAATTTCAGTTTGGCTCGTCTTTGAATGTCTACCATAAAATTATGTTATCCCGCCGATTTAGGGACAACTGTCCGAAAGCGAAATCCGCCCGAAAGTGGACAGCGCTACTCGGCTGGTTGTGACCTAGCCACGTCGGGCTACACTTTGGACATATTCGAAAGGCCGAGATAATTCAAAAGAACGGCAGAAACGCTTTTTAGTAGATTCTGCTTTATCCGCGGAAATAAGAACGATACTAGACTATCAACTTCGACGGTGTTCATTTTAAAATGCAATACCCAAGCCTCCATCTTGCTTTTCAGAGACCATCAAAGATGTCGGTCGCAGCTGATAATCCTTGTCGTGACATCACACGTATGAGCCACGGCTGTCTCCGCGTGCTCTCTCGTGCTGCTCTTGTTTGGCACTCTGGGAGCGATAGAGATTTTTCGTCCCTTAAATGAAAAACGTCACGAAGACGAACGGATCTGTGGTTTGTGAGAAAAGAAAACTTCGCAGCAATCTTTCGGCTCCTCCCTCCCACTGTGTCATAACACAAAGAATCTTTGGGTTTGACGAGTTTAGCGACCCTGGGCTACTCGTCGGGCGCGCTTGCCTTCCCCTTATAAAATATTAGAAGTAAATAACCAAAACAAGGCGGTTACGAATGCGCGTGCAAGATACCACTCGTTTTCAGGTTTTGCTTTAAAACAGTATAGACGCCAGCACGTGCGGCGCGTAGACTTGTATTCTCAGCATTCTTATGGATGCTTGGGCAAGTTAGCAGTAGATTCGTGTGTCCGAAATGTCTATTAAAAATAACTTCTATTCTCCCGTAAGAGACATTGACACATTGTCCACAAAATAAACATTATTTTCGACTACGTTTCGATTTCCGTTCTTTTTTTCCTTCTCAATGGTGCGTTTATCCTGATTAAGAACATATCTTCATACAAAGATGTATTCTTGTATATAGTTTTTTTAGTTTTCCCCTGAAATAATCATCATAATAATAATAAATGTGTTCATCTTGCCAACAGTTTACAGTTGGAAGGTGAAAAGGGCAAAAAGCTGTAACACAGCTTGTCTAGTCCCGAGCCACTTAAATAGCAGTTGAGACGCAGGCACCAAAATTATTTACGTATGATTAGGAGATAAATAAAAACATGAAGAGGTCCTTTACACGAGACAAAAATTGATTAGGATCATTATATAACGCAAATTCAATTTGAACAGAATAGCATTAGAAGACAAAACGCGGCAAAAAAGAACTTCAGCCCCCCAAAAATAACACTTTTCTTCTATTCGTTTTGGTTTAAAATGACTATATCAACATTTTGGCTTGAGATGAGTATAATTAATTCCCGTAAGCTGCTCATCGACACATCGCTATGTTCTATATTTTCCCTACTGAACTGATTCAGTGTAGTCGGAAGGGTGCATGATGTAGTGTATTGTCCGTAATTACTTCTAAAAAAATTGTACTTCACATGGTTCTACAGTTGGCGTTGGATATGCATATACCTTTTTTTTTGTTAGGTTCGCTAAGTCTCCAAAATAATGTTGAGCCTTTTTTTCTACGATATATTTCGAGCATAAACAATATTTGTATAAATCAAAAAATTTCATTACTTCAAGTTGATCGATAACAATGTCCGTTGCATAATCCACCCTAACATGAAAAATGCTTCTTAATATATATTTTTTGTAATATAAATATCTTTTGAAGATTGGTATATGTAGTGGTTCCCCACATAAGATGCCATTATTTATATGCGAGTAAAATAATGAATTATATTATTATAACTTTGTTTTTAGAGGCAAGATGTGTTTATGAGGATATGAAATACCAACCACGCTTGATAATTTAGATGCAATGAAATTAATATGATCGTCCCATGACATGTTTGCCTGAAAAAAAACAAACAGAAAACCTGAAGTTTTAAATGTGGGTAGAATTTAAATTTTCGAAGAATTTAAAAGAATATCTTCGGTAATGTAGACATATTTATTTCTTTGTGAAAATAAGACTGCTTTTGTCTTATTGACATTTATTTTTAGACCATCACATTTACTCCAACTATCAAGTTTTTGTAATATTTCGTTGGCGTCACGTATGAGCTCTGTGGCGTTTTCTCCCGTAAAAAAAGAGAAAACAGCTAGCATTCTTAGCGTAGATAAAAAAGATTCGTTGTTGAACTTACATTTACTATGTTATTTATATAGATATTGAATATTAAAGGCCCCAAAAAACTCTTTTGTGGAACGCCGGACCTAATCAGTTTTATTTCAAATGACTGACCATTTATATCTACATATTGTCTGCGGGAAGACAAATATGAATTTAAAAGGAATGACACTTGGCCACGAAAACCATATTCATTTAATTTACTAATTAGCAAATTATAATCCAGGTAGTCAAAAGCTTTAGTGAACTCGACGTATATACCGAGAGTAAGTTTTTTTTATCCTCGAAATTTTTAATTATTGTTCTTTTGAGCTAAAAGAGCGAGTGCGGTGGAGCGATGCTTACGGAAACCAAATAGACATGAACTTATTATGTTCTGTTTATCCGCAAATGTTGTCAATCTAAGGAGAATAATTTTTTAGACACTTAGAAAATACCGATCGGATTGAAACGGGTCGGTAATGACCTAGGTCATTTTTATCGCCCTTTTTATATATCACTGTTACTTTAGCTAATTGCATTCGTCTGGGAAATACTCCGGCTAGCAAACATAAATTAAAGATGTGCGTTAAGCAAGGACAAATAAGATAAATAACACGCTTAACCGGCGTGATTTGAAATCCATAGGAATCGAAAACTTTTACTATTTTAAGCGCATTAAAGACGCATATGGCATACCTATCAGTGATGGGCGTAAGGAACATTGATGCATCGTTTTGAATATTTACATATTTGCACGCGTCTGACTCAGGACTTCCTTTAACGAGGTTCTCAAAATAGTTATTAAATGCATTTGCCAATGCTCGACCTGATAGCTCCTGGCCATTGTTGTTTATATTTTCTATTTGCCTCGGCACACACGAACGACCCAATCTATATGAGACATTGTGTAACGGAGTTATGAGACGTTATGTCACATTTTGCTCGGTGATACCAGCCCTCAAACACCATCGATGTTAAATCGACTAGGCTGTTTGCGCAGGCAAAGGCACCACATTATGCGTTCTTCCTTTTCATAACGAAGGAGCCGGAAACAAGCTTTGCTCGTCGGCGCCACCTCAGAGGTCATAAGTACGAAAAACGTCACGCCAGCGCACGCGGCGTTCGCTGGCCCCTCTCGTACACCGCTTTCCTTGTGCGCGAGAGAAGCCTTTCCTGTAGTTTTAACGCAGTCCATGAAAACATCCGAACGTCGTATTAACGATCCAAGGTTGATTCCATGACGTTATTATCTGTCTTACCTAAGCGGAAAAAGTCGGAGAAACGAGACGAGAAACGTTCTCTCACTTTTTTTCGGTTTATCCTATGGGGTAAGGAGGGCAAACAAAAACATTTAGCGGCTGGGCATCATCTAGGTACGATAGCTTTTTCCTCAAGAATTTTGTAATAATTCGGACGAGTTTACGCCTGTAACCGGTTTGCCAACCGATTAGCTCGTGGAGATCCCTCTTGCATTTTGCCTCTCGACTGAAGGTGCATCTACAGAACGACGCTGGAAAATCAAGTCTTCGCGAGAGGTCCAGCCAGGATTGACACACAAGCTCGTTTGGTGCCTCACACGGCAAGCGGAGCCAACTATTTTTAAATTTCCAGTGTGCACATCAGCTATGAGAGGTAACCGACTACCACCGGAGCTTCAGCTGATTGCCGAAACCGAACTTGGAGAGACGGACGAGAGGAAACTTGAGGCGCTGGAGGAGTTCAATCAGCTACTGGATGGTAAGCCCCGAAGGTCTTTCTACGGCCTGCAGTTCGTCTTTTCATAATGACCACATTAAAAGACACTGCGCGAATATGAAAAATCTCAATATTGACGGTTTGAGGCCGCAGTTTTACCCCTTACTTGCCTATCTTCCTCTTAAGACTGGAACATGTGCTAATAATAGTAGTTGTTTACCCACGAATAGGCGAGCGCGTATTTCCTCAGAAATATGATTTGGAAACTGGAGGCCGTCTGCCGAATAACAAAGTAATTTTATGTCGCGGAAATGCTCATACAAAAGATGGGCAGAGTATGTTTGTCATTCGCCTTTTACCAGTGGATGACCCAACTGGTCCTTCACCCTCTTAATAAGGCTGTATATTTTATGCATTTTTATTGACCCTACACAGTGGAGGAGGTTTCGGGTAGTACAGAGCTTATCAAATGTCATGATAATCAAAGTTTAAAGGGTTTGCGTAGTTTAAACTGAAATATTGGGCCAAAAATAGACTAAATTGTTTAAAATTTCGAGGGGTTGAAATATAGTGCAGGCCTGCAAAATCTTGACGTTCGTTCTAAGCGCTTCTGATTAATGAGAGCATTATAAAATAATGTTTACTTCATAGGTAATGGGCCACTTTCTTTCGAATGCAGAGAAGCTACTTTAAATTAACTGCAGATATTAAGACTTATCTTGACTTCTGAGAATGCATTAAGAAACTTGAGTTGTTTGTTTAGAAGAGCACCACTTTTCAATTTTCTACATTTAATTGTGTCCACTAAGCAGATGACTTTGGAGTGAATAAATCTCGTCCTTTTTTTTTACATGACAGTTATGATCTTGATCCTTTGAGTAGGTAGTAGAATTAAATACTCCAGTTTGATTATGAATAAAATAATTGAGCAGCCTGCTAGTTTTATATCTTGTTATAGGATGTAGTTCGTTGGTAAACAACTTTTGAATGTGTATCTAAAATGTGTTTATTTGAAGTGATTCAAATATTCTTTGCATAGAAAGTGTCTCTTGTCATATTCATTATTTCGTGTAAATTTCGTACGCTTTTCGTAAAATAAGTAGAAAAAACTATTATTACAAAGCATGCTTCGGTGTGAAATTGCCCTCGGAGCAAAAAACCATAGCGAAACCTTGGCAATCTCCACTTCTGGAGCCTCCAAATTATTTTATCCCGGGAAACAAATTAGCTACGGCGTTCGCATATAGCCGATAAAAAATGTATGACACGGCCTATCATTGCTCTATTTGACGTGGCCACACCTTCCGGTCGCTGTTTGAGTCTAGCTTATCATGCGACATTCCGTATGGGTGTATCCATTACGTCCGAGCTTTTAAATACTTTGCATCTTGCGTGTGTGGGAGAGACCTAGGGAAGACATCTAGATGAGACGTTCCTTATGGGCGCATCTTTTACGTCCAATATTATAAATACTTCGCATCTCACACATTGGTGGCAGCCCTAGCTAATACGTATAGATCAGTCATTCCGTGTAGGAGTATCTATCAAGTCCAAGCTGAACTATCTCGCATATCACACGCTGTGGACAGCCCTAGCAAAGACACGTAGATTAGAAAACACAATATCTGCTAACTTTCATATTTTTGCCAGAATTCAACCAGAACTTTCCGAGTGCAAGACTTAATTTTAGTGTCAGCTCTATTAGATATAAATTTCAGAAAACTGTCGTCCTGTAAGATAAAGTAAAACTTACCTAAAAATCGATAGGTTCGTATATGTATAGGGTTGCATAGAGTTGTATAGAGCAGGAAAACCAACAATTTTCTCATCGGGACGCACACGAAAGCAGTTGTACAAGTAAAACCTTTCTGAGCGTAGATTCGATTCTTTGCTTTCTCGACAGAAGGATGGGATATGGTTTCAGATATAGAAAATGAATTGAAATAAACTCGACTGATTTGAGCGCAAAGACTCTATAGTCAACCCCTAGATCAGCCCCATGCAGCGTAGCGCCTGGCGTGGCTCCCATGTGCATTAGGACCGTTTCTTATGGTGCAGTTTTTTAGCGTACGCGCGTGCGGTGCAGTCGTTGATGGGGTTGCCGCTGTCGTTGTGCGTGCGCGTTTTCGCGAAGGTAGCGGGTAACCGAGATTCTACTTTCATCCACGAGGAATCCATTTGCTAGGTCGGTCCCGTCCTACCAGATTACCCGTGTGACGCGGATTGTTCCAAAGTGGCTTTTGGCTAAAGCGATTCGTTTTCCGTCTTGTGTTTTGCGGTTTCAATAGAAAGAATCTTATAATGCACTTCCTGGAAGAAACAGGGAGTGCGAAAAAATCGATACGGTCCAATGCATTATGAAATTGATGTGTTTGCTGTGAGCCCCAATTGGTCACAATAAAAAAATCGTTTCATGGTTAATTAAAGTGAGGAGGTGTAACAATATCGAATCCTCATATTGAGGAAGCACTGACAGTACTAGGTAAATATATGCATCTGTCGGAGTGCTTCGCCAGGAAAACATCTTTCGACATAAAGACGATTTTAAGGGGAAGTGCATGAACGCGATCATAAGTTATCTTTACTTTTGTTTATTCTTATTCTGTCGCTTTATTGATCTGTTTGGACAAACTGAAAAATGGGAAACTGTATATTGTGCTGCAATTAAGCTCAGCTTAAGTATCAATGCGTCTCGCCGGATGGGGCATTGAACAGAGCGTTGCTTCTTGTGGGTAGAGTCTGTCGTGCAGTGCATATGCTGCAGTAAACTATAGATGCCAGTCTACTCTTGCTATTGAAGAATGAAGTTGAAATTACTAGTAGCGTACCCAAATCGAGTAATTCTCCGTCCCACTAAAACCATGCAGTACAGCTAAAGCAACAGGGGAGAAAGTGTATCCCGACCTGTTCAAGAGGAGGGAAAGTAGGAAAGGGGGAATCACAGCCTTCCCTTCCCATATCCCTTTCTCCACTGTAGACTTACGCTCTCTCCACTGTAGACTTAGCTGTACTGCAAGGCTTTACTGGGACGGAGTAAAGGTAAAACTCAGGCAGGAGGCCTACTGAGGCTTCCGGGGCTTTAATTTGGCGGGAACTATAACCGCCATTATGGTTGGCGCAACGAGCAACAACGAAAGGCGAGATAAAGTATGCGCAAAGTGCATGATTTCTCCCATCGAGTTTGGCGTGGTCGGTCTGTTGGCAACGGAGGCAGCTCTTCAGTTCCCCCCGTCCCCCCCTTTTTCCACTCTTCCTATTTTGTGATTCATGTAAACAGTGCAAATAAATGCTTGTTCACGCCATATTCTAGCTACAAGTGACTGATCTTGAAGCCCTACAGAATCGGGGTGCCCGTTTTATATTTACTAACTATCATCGCACATCTAGTGTCCCAACTATGAAAACTAATTTATCACTTCCTGCTCTTTCATTACGCCGAAAAATATCTCGTTTGTGTCTTTTTTATAAAATTTATCATTCTAATACTTCGCTAAAAAACAAACTAATGTTAAATCCTGTTTTCATCTCGCCGCGCGTAGATCATCAATTTAAAGTCGGAATTCCTCATTGCATTGCCTCAGCCTATTATAACCCTTTTATTCCAAGGACATTTTCAGAGTGGAATCGCCTTCCCGCGCAATTAGTAAACATACCATCCTTTGACTTGTTTAAAAGTGCGTTGACTACTTACCTATGTTAATATTTCTCTTTGTTTGTTTGCCTTGTTTTATACATTTCTTAATGTGTTTGCACTTTTTTTTTTTACATTTTTCGTGCTTGGCTTTTAGTGTTTGTATATTGTTTGTGTTCCAATTTTGTCTTGTACCACTCCCCTCTGTAATGCCCCAGGGCCTTGAGGGTACTTAAATAAATAAATAAATAAATAAATAAATGGATACATTACTCTGAAAGACTGCTCAGTTTGCTTTTGTCAGGCACGCCGTCCCAATGTGGCAGTGTTGCGGTATACATAAGTATACGACTGGGAGCAGTGTCTGTGGAGTTTCCATTGGAACATGTTACATGGTTTAATTCAAAACTAAAATAGAAAACAAGAGATTTTTCTTCTTACTGATATATTATGCCCTATTTTGAGATACTACCACTTTAATGGTTATTCCGATTCTTCCTCGCACTGGGATTTTCTAAGTAGGGCTTAACATAATTACTATTCTAGATATATATAAATGCACCTCACATACAGTTGACACCAAGACGATTATTAAATTATTATAATGAAATAAAACTAAATATTGTAACGCGGATATATGACTAAACTTCTGTCGTCTATGCAACATCATTGATTTCGTGAAGGGCAACCTAGAGCGTTGCATGACGAACTCACGTTTGGGAAGCTCACCTGGCTCTAATTCAGTTGTCAAGAAGAGCTGTCAACGTGAACCTTGTTTGCATTGTAGAAAATCACGTGCGTTTAAACCCAACGTGTCAATGTTACCTTGTTGATACTCTCATTTCCCCATGTAGAAGCCCAATATAAGCTGATTTGTGTTTCTTCAAACATTGTTTTACTCAAACTAATTGTTTTTTAAACACTATTTTATAGATAGCACAGAAACCCGTCTCACCGGTTACTCACTTCTTACGTTAATTAAAATTTTAAAATGCAATAAAGTATAATCTGGGGATTGAGTTTTTCTATAAAATAGTAATGCTCTAAACAATAGGCTGGTAAAATGCTTAGCCGATGTTGATCAAACAATGTTTTGCTTTCATAACACTTGCAAATGCTTATTCACCTTATGTCATTGAGAGCAAAAAAGGCATTCCAGACTTCAGTACTACCGTTCTATGAGAGAAAGGTTTTCATTGGGAAGTTCGGTGTAGCACTAGCAGGAAAACCTTCAATCCAGATGACCGCTCTAACGGGAGTAGTTTGTCCCCGGTGTTCGGGACATTATTTTCTCTCAATACTCTTTTATTACTGTTAGAAGAGGCGAGACCATTAAAATGTTACGACACAGCTTGAAATATGAATATTTGTTCTATAAATTCGGAGAAAATTGGTTGAAACTTTGTCTACAGTTGATGATAAGTTAAACGGGCCCTCCGGAGCGTTTTGCGATGGTCTGTTTATGGCGGTAACTCAATCTACAGGCCCTAAGGATCCTAAAAATCATAAAATTACGGTCAGGCTTGGCGGATTTCCCTATTAAAATTGCTATCAAAGTCCCCCTTTCTGAGATGACCCCGGAAAACGGGAGACGCATCTCTTACGCGTCAGCCAATAGCAAGCGAAGGATTCCGGCGTCATTGCGCGTCACGAACGCGGCCGACCGCCGGCCGACCCGCGGAGGAATCTCTCGAACACGCGCGGACCGTCGTCAAGGAGCCCGGACTTTGTGCTCGGCAGTCGTCGTTCGTCGCATCGCACCGTCGCGCTGCTACTGCAATACGCAGACGCAATCCACAGATGACAAGGAAACGTTTGACTCGTTGACGTGGAAGGATCGCAAAGCTGGCTTCGGAGTCGGGATGCACGGGAAGAAGGAACACGTGTCCCGCAAACGCACGCCTGCAGACGCCCCGGGAAGCAGACGAGCCGACGCGCCGACGCATCACCCCCTGGCAACAAGCTTGAGGGGAGAAAACATAGTTCGCTGGTTTTGGAACGATAAGTGCGGACTATGTTTCCCGCACCACAATCAGTTTACCTTTTTCTCAAACTCTAATTTACAACAAGCTTAAAAAGTGTTGCAATAATAACGTTCGCATTCACCGCGAGATGCAGCATTTTCATTGGTCAAGTTTTAGCGATGGGCAGGGAATGGGGGATTGTCTTCCAAGAGAAAATAGTCCCGATATATTTCTTCTGCCATCTGCTTAATAAACGGTTTTGTAATCTAAAACTTTGTATACATATTAACTTGCACCTACAACGCAATATAACAACATAAACAGACGATCGCAGAAAGCTCCGGAGGGCCCCTTTAAGAGAAAAGTGGAAGCTTATCCCACACCTTTTCTTTTTGGCAGAGCAAACATTGGAGATGACTAAGATGAGGTCACCTCTTCACCAGCGTTCGCCCTGCTAAAGTAAAAAGAGGTGGGAGGAGCTTTGGCTTTACTCTTAACTTGTCACCGACTACACCGACTTAGAATGATGCTGTAAGTAAAGATTAAGATGCAACAAACCGACGCCGTGTGGACTTTAAATTAAATACCAGCAACTAAAAATAAATATTTCGAACGCGGCTTGGAGTGATTCGTCAGGTTTTATGAAGACCCGAGCGAAATATTTTGTGTAGGATCGTTTATTTTACAATCATACAGCACCGCATAGCGTTTTTAGAAACGGAAAGAAAGAGTTACGTAAAATGTTGATTACGTACTCGGATCCTGATAGGAGTGAACAAATAAACAACATAATGAAACCTAACCTAACCTTACCTAATTTAGGTTGGGTTAGATTAGGTTAGTTTATTTGTTCACTCCGTTTAAAGGGCAACTCCGCTTCATTTTTGATATTTAGGAAACTATGTAGCCCTCTTCAGTATCATTTAGGAAGACCCCATGTCAAATATTACGATCTAATTCTGTCTATATATTGAATAAACTGGCCAGCAAACCTTCAAGTGAGCCAAGTCGCCGAAATCTGCCAACTCTAGCGTACGACGTGAGGCGCAATCGTCAGCGCAGTCAATGCGACGGAGTTGGAGCGGCCAACGTTGAGCCACTACGTCAGAGGCATGACTATGTCATTCTTAAGTTTTGTTTGTTTTTACTTTTCAGAGCGAAATTGAACGATGACGTCATGAGTTTCTCCTCGCGGCGTTGGCTGAATGGCGTCCACGTGATCACCGTAACGCGGATGCGCTAGTTTGCGCTGCCCTGCGCGCTTATCGGTCTGTTTCTCCGCTCCCCTTCTCCTCTTTTGTCTTTTCCCCTTCCCTCTCTCCCGCGGGCCATCACCGTCCACGCCATGCGAGCGACCTGTCCGCGTCGCGTGTCCTGTCCCTCGCCCCCTCCCCCCCCCCCCCCCCCCCCCCCCGAACGTCTCAAGACCACGTGGTTCGACGTGACGTGGCCATGACTGACAACACGAGACCAATGTTGCCTGAAGCAACCGAAGTTTCGGTTTCGGTATCAGCTGATGTTTAAATTAGGATTACACAAATAATCCACATTTCGCGAATCCGAAGGCGTTGAGTTGTTTAGTAGTGCTTTGTGAAATAGAATAACATGTAAGCCTATATTTTTCTGAACTGAGCGGAGTTGCCCTTTAACAAGAGCATCCTCATTATAGCGCGCACAAATATGCCACGTATGCTATATATATATATATATAAATATATTAATGTTATAAACGGCAACTTCTATAAAAGGGTGCCTCGATGTGCTGAAAGGAAGCTCACCTGAAAGGTGCACTGTAGTTACTGTAAAACCCTTAATGTTCGCGAGCCCTCAATTTTCGCGAATTTCACGAACTGAAGAATTCGCGAAATTTAAGGGCGCGCGAAAATTTCGGTCCTGAAGATTTTCAATGCAGGCGTCCGGAATTCGCGAAATTTAGTGGTCGCGATTATGTCATCTGTGACCAACTCGCGAAAAATAGGGGCCGCGAAAATGAAGGGTTTTACAGTATAGTTTTCACGAGGCTAAACGTCGGAGCATTATAAAGTGCATCTCAAAATCCAGAAAAAAAATACTTTTTTTTATTTTTGTTTTGAAATGGTGGTGGCAAATTGAAAACACCTATCTATCATTCGGGAAGTCTTTCATTGGCGGAACAAAATAAAATAGTTGTGATATATCTTCAAATTACAATTCAGCTTTCGTGTGGAATATGTTGGTTTTAAGTTGTTTGACAGTCTCAACTGGGTTTATGTCTGTTTTCCTTTTTTTTTATTTTTCAGAGGAACCTGATTTGTACTCAAAAAGAGATGACGAATTTCTGCTTCGTTTCCTCCGTGTGGCAAAGTACAACGTTGATGCAGCATTGAAGAGGATCAAGGAGTATTACAAAATGCGCAAAGAGTGTCCATTTGTTTTTGAAAACTTTTTACCGTCGAGTGCCAAACTTGAAGCAAGAAGCATGGCGATGGTGCTTCCCCGACGAGACGTTCATGGCCGGCTGGTGTTACTGTTGAGATTAGGTGAGTGCTTGAGTTGACTGCAACTTGAGAATCTGTGACGTTGCGACTCGAGAATACTTTATGTGTGCTTCAATTTTAAGTGCTTATTGTACTCGCGAGGATTAAAATCAGGTCTAGCATAGACCTAGGGCTGGGTGAGAAATTAGTTATTTGAAAATCTTCAAATGGTAATTTACTTTCCTCATACATTGTTGTCAAATATAAGCGGTGAATATCTTTATTGACTATATTTTTATGATGATTCTGCGGAATATAAAACGACCTCAATTTCTCGTTACATACATTTTATTTTGGTGCCACCGCACCGAGCATTAGATTGTGTTCTTCTAAATCAGAAGGACATCCTCGTTTCTGCTCTACATGCGTTTGAATTTAGGAACCTATGAATGTTTATATTCTCCAAGACAATGAACCCTCATCTTGACAGGCTCGACACAAATTCAGTATCAGTCATGTTGACACCAGGTGAACTAAAAATTTAGAATAACGGTATCAGTGGACGTCTCTCATTTTTCAATTTATGTGTGTCGATACCAGTATTTCGACAAAGTTCGTTTTAGCAACGACACAAATCGAGTAACGACACTTCTTTACTTGGTAGAAAAATACAGAAGTTTAATGCAATAATCCCTTCAACTTGTCAAGAGTCAACTAGACATTATTCCTTTGCCGCTTTTCTCAAGCTTTGCGGCTACATAATTGAAAGGAAAATGGTAAACTTACGGATAGCTCATTTTGAATGCGAAATCATTTATGGTGGGCACAAAGCCGTGAGATCGTGTGCGTCCGTCCGTAAGTAACTGGGTGGTGCGTGTCTATGAAATTAGAATGGCACATGTGGCGAGGGAGGGGAGCCACGATTGGCCCCAGTTCCCTCGTCACCAGCGCGTTTCACCATGCCAGGTGACGTCAGCACGAACCAGCTACGCATATGTGGAGCCGTAAGCAGTTTCTTAGGAGAAACGCACTGGGGCTCAGTCTTCGTAACACCTCCTAGAAAAAGGCCACTGGACACAGAGGAAAAAATTGGCGCAAAAACAATCGTTCGGCTAAACGACTCCGGCAACTGCAATGAAGGTGAAATGACACTTCATGTGGTTTTACAGAGAAGCTGTATATAACTCGTAGGTTGGATTTTTTCGTACAAGCGTCCTAGAGAGAGAGAGAGAGAGAGAAAAAAAAGCTTTAGCAATTGAAACGAAAAGTGAATATCAGGCATGCAACATACAGCACAGCATTTGTTTTAATAAAGTACGACCACGAAACAAGCATCTGACCCACATAATTGATGATAAGGCGCTTCTGATTACCATCCGAAGCACGTAGCGCTCACCGCATATACGTTTCTCTGTAAAGATTATTGTTGCGCAAGCTGCCGCGGCGACGGCAGCTTGCGACGTGGAGAGTGACGTCATTAGGTTTTCATACAGGGTGTTTCAGGTAAGATTGACAAAAATTCCTAAAATTAATGTATTCGAGGTAAATGGGTAATTTTCTTGGGACCGCAATATTCGTGGTGGCGGACTTCAGAAAATTCGCGATACTTAGCAATTAGTTCTCTGAATAACTAAAATTATTAATCAAATCTCTAATTAGCTATGATAGGCATATGGTTCCAATTAGAAACTTGCTGAGCTTCATCAAATGCCACTAAATCAGTAATTTTCCGAAAGTCTTTAAGCGCGTAAAAAAGCGTATAAGTATTGCGCTAAAGTTACCACTCGTGGAGCAGGTACAAGGCTGGGGCTCTCATATGAGACGGAAGGATCGCGCGGGCGCCTTACCGGAACGGTCAGCCTTGTACCTGCTCCGCAAGTAGTAACTCTAGTGCACTATTACGCTTCTCATGCGCTCAAAGTCTTTTGTGAAAATGACTAATTTAGGGTTTTTGATGACGCTCAGCGAGTTTTCCATTAAAACCATATGTATATTTTCACCAATTAAGAACTTAATTAATCATTTCAGTTAATTAGCGAACTAACTAGTAAGCATCGCGATTTTTTATCGTCCGCCACCACGAGTAATAAGGTTCCGAGAAAATTATTCCTTTACCTCGAATGCACTAATATAGGGGAATTCTTTGTACGTAAAAAGCTTTGGTAGAGGGCATTTGCCTTTCTTTTGTCAATCATTTGGTATAGTCCAGTGGGCAATGGTTGCAGGTGATACTACAGGTTCGCTTGCCAACTACCTTCACGGCGTGGATTGGGGCCCCGGTTTGTTTTAACAAGCACCACTTCCAACCAGAACTTAGGGGAGATATTTTCCCTCTAAATTAGAAGCGAAAGTGGAACGTCACGCCATGGGACACTGCGGCGTCCGAGACACTATGATGTCACGTAACACCATAAAGTCACGTGACACTGACGTCAAAGGTCACGTGGCAATGACGTACCGTAAAATTGTGACGACACGCGACGCTGACGTCACATGTCACATGATATTGACGTCACGTGGCACATTGACGTTGTGTAAAACAACGACGCGAGATTGTGAGGGTCAGACCAACACGAGCAAGAATGGTTCGTGGTGGGCATGCATCTCAAGCTGGGGCTTTAAAATGACGCCATGCTGATCGGCACACCAAGACACCCATTTCGACGAACATCTCAAGGGCGCGCTAAGGTTGCCAAGAGCCAACGAGGTGTTTGTCAAACCAGTATAGACAACGTGCAACTGCTTACAAAGCCGAGTGGAAGCAAGCGGCTTGCGAGACCAGTGCACAGCGAGTCACCGCAGCATCCGCCAAATCGGAGCAAAGAGGAAAGCGCATTAGCAAAAACTTACCACATCGGCGTCTGGAGTAGGTGCTTACCAAAAACTTACCACATCGGCTTATATTTACAAGATTTTTGTAGACGTAAAATTTGGGCAATTTTAGGGGGAAGTTTATGGCATATCACATCTTTGGCAGAATCTAAAGACACACAGGTTTTTGTGTTCTGCACGTGCATCATAACAACGACGTTTCAAAACGAGCTGAAAAGATGACTATCATCAAGCCTGTGTTACGATGTGACTATAGTCGGTTACAAGTCAAGAAGGTAGGAGAAGCTCCACCCACAAGCGTGATGCGCCCGTTTCAAATCTCTCCACAGTCGAAAGAAGAGTTCACTGGAAACATTCCTTGTTCCGCTTCAATGGATTCCAACTTGTCTCCGATCCCACTTTTTAAGAAAGCGACCTTTGTATTCATCAGAGAGGGAACCGAGCCCCTGAAAGCAGCCTTTGTATCCATCGGGGGGGAAGCTAATCCCCGAAAGTCGTATTTGTTTCCGTCGGTGGGGGAGAACTCTAATCTCCCTCTCGTGCCTTCCACAATGCTAAGTAAAAGTCGAAGGATAAAGCAAATATGTACAGAAAGGCAAGCCCTTCCTCGCGCGTTTGCCGCGACGTCACGGAAACGGTGGGACGCTATTGGATACGGAGGTGGCGGAGGGATATCTGATTCCCTTTGAGGGGCATTTGCCGCTACCTTTTTAACCTGTAACTGACTATAGTTCATTAGGATGTATTAGTTAAATACCTGCTGCTTGTGAGAGTAATCCGCCCATTAAACTTACGCCGGATATATCAGTACTCAACAGCAACAGGACCCATATACGGTCTCCTCTTCAAGTAAAAAAGTAAAGATTAAAATACTGCACAATATAGCTCGAGGAAGATACTTGCCTGTAAAGTAAAAAATTCTGGCCAAACCTAAGTTTCAATAAGATATATATTTTACTTTATGACACACCTGATCACTTAATAAGGATATCAGGAAAACTTGATTTTTCAACATGAACGTGTATTTGAAATCTGCATCCTACGGCCGAAACGGCGATCTGCTATGTTTAAGGGATGAGATTCAGCTTTCCAGAAACCGATTTTAGAAGAAATGCACCGGTTGTTGTAAACAATTCTATTTTCGGAGATTGAATATCTTGCGAGTTTTGAGAAGTGTTATTTTCTAGATTATTTTCCGGGCCCAAAGTTTTTCGATTTGGAGTTATAATTTTGGAGCGATAAATTTATGTGAGAATGTTTTGCCTTATCCTTCAAGTTAAAATATAAACGAGCATATTACGAAAATAGATACTCGTGAAAAATCACTTAATTATATTAGAGCTGGGCGTTGACTGACATTTTAAATCAGATTCACAGCTATCCCTTCATCAAATAAAAAATCAGTTATTCGTTTCTGTGTACCTCGAGATATATTATCTAAAAAAGAGCCAATACTTTACAATTTATTTTGCCTGTTTCTTACAATATCATTATTTCGAAAAGTACCGCCTGATTTTAAACTAGCAACTCTACAGCAGCTACAGTACAGTGGGAAGACGGACGGATAGACAACATTTTAGGATTGTGCGTTAATATATTTTATACTTTAAGAAATCGATCGCGATAAAGCGATAATCGATTAATCGTAAGGTTAATCAATCAATTCCCCACTTCAAGTTTGCAGTATATCGTGTGATATACGAATATAATTGTTTTTAGGGAGCGCGTTGTTATTGCATACAATTTGTTTACGAAAGAATTAACTATAGAGAACAGAATTGTATGCAGTACCAATACGTTCCGTAGAAAACGGTTTTCCTGAAGATGTGCTGTTCGTGTTCGTTTTTTGTGTATAACTCTTTCGTAAAAGAAAAAAAAAGTATGCTACTATTAGTTCCCGGTTCACTTGCAGGTGCCTGGAATCCCCAGATTATTTCCTACATTGAAGCATTGCAAGCAATAACGCTTGTCGTGGAACATCTGACAGCGGACCCTGCTGCCCAAACGACTGGCGTTTCCTGCATTCACGACTATGGAGGATTTTCTATGGATAAATTCATTGCCATTAATTTTGGCCTCCTGAAAAGTTCCATCAAGCTTCTTCTGGTTCGGATACTTTAGCTTGTCTTTTTAATATATGCACCTAACATTGATATGGGGCATAATCTTTAGGTCAGAGCAAAAAAAGTGATATATATGTGAGGCGGGTAAATTAAATGTAATGAGGTCAAAAGCCTATTTGGCAATTTCTAATTATTACCAAATGTCGTTCAATCTGCGTCGTGCTCGAGAGCAAGTTTCAAGGCCGTTTGTTGATGTCCAGCGAGATCCCACTCCCACTGACGTTTTAGACACATAACCGGTTTACTTAAAAAATATATATATTTCAATGCTAAATCCTCGAAGCAGGTCTTCTTATTCTGCCAGATGTAATATTGGTTTTAGAAACCGCAATGCCGGATATTTCGAACAATTATAAAATTTAGCTTTGTTTCCTTTTCAATGGATGAAGTAAAGCTTTAGTTGTTAGAAACATCCTTTAAGTCAACGCTATTTCTTGATCATGATACCCTGAGACTGGGAAGGAAACTTGAAGATAATATATCTTCGAGTTTACATCTTAGACAGCTCGCCTGCACGTTGATAATTTTTTCACTTTGTGGAAAAATGGTCAACGTGCTTTTGGTTAAACGAGAGCGGTTTTTCACTGCTGAAGGTAGCGTTTTCTCTTCTATTTCGGGAAAGCTCTGAATACTAGAAATGGATCCATAGCATGCTCAAAATCGCGCAAAGGGTACTTTTCATACTCTTTTGATTATCATCCTGCATGACGTTGAGAGTGTATGAATTCGATTTTTGCTTTTGATTAATGAAGAGTCGTTATTTAATTTAATAACTCCCGAGTGCAGGGTACTGCATTATATACAATACTTTAAACAGCAACTTTACAAATTAACAAAGATTTAATTAAAATTTGTGTAATTTATATACGCCACTAAACTTGCGGGAATAAGCGTTTCAGAAGGCGGTTCCTGGGATCCGCATAGCCTATAGATACATATCAGTAAAACTCTCATTTAGATTCTTACGTGGAGCAACAAGAATAACATTTCGATTCAATGTTTTATACTTTGTTCTACAAACATAGAGTTTTTCATGCAACGACTGCCAAGCTGTTTATTAGAGAAGCACTCATTGTAACATGGTTGAAAGTCGTTTTGGTGTCTGTCAAAGGTTCTGTTTAGAAAAGTTAGTAACGTTTCATACGTTTATTTTTTTTCTGGTTCAATTAATCACTTTTTTAACAAAAAAGTAAACGTGGTGAGTTTATTCAGAAACTTTGTGGAAATAATCAGAACCCCTAATCAGTCCGCTCTGAAAAAACATAAGGAACTCGCAGCCATTTACGGTGTTTAGAACGCGATTCGGACGCGTTTTTAAGTCTAGGTTACTTATCAGTACGCACCTCCACGGCAAAGCGATCAACCACCGTATTGCCTCCTTACTAGGAAAGAAGTGTGGCGAGAGCAAACAAAATGAAACGATGTGCTATTTGAATGACATGACAAGAACAACCTTTGATTCTAGGGTTTATTACCTTCGTACTCTAAAAAATGTATGGTTGCGCTCGTTATTTTGGATTTTATACGCGGTGAGCATGACCGCTGGCACGAAGATGCACTTCGACAATAAACCAACACTTAGAAACGGGTCGTTTTTTTGTGATTTTGCTTCACGTCCCTTATAACTGGCTAACGGAAACTGTTTTTTTTTTTCGTTTCGGCAATGCACATCAATTTTACATCTAACAGAAACCAGACCTTAAAGATTTCTAACTAAACGTTATGGCTTAAAAATAATAAATAGCCTAATTGCAGAGAACCTCGTTTTTGTTTTTATTTTATAAATACGGCCTGTGGCGGAGACCATGACGACACCCTTTTTTGTTCTTGCATTATGTGTTGTTTTAGCAGGAACGATTGCGCTGATGTTCTATGAAATACCATGTAAAAAGTTGTCACCACTTGATAATTGTTCTCTTTCTCTTTTTGCCAAAAACGATTTCCCCAGAATTTGGGAGTTTTAGCTTCGAAAAATAAAACCAATACAAAGTGCAGACATTTTTTTTTTCTACTTGAGATAGCGAGCATACTTGTGACAGCCCATTATGATTTCTGTTGGGACAACAGAAATCATAATGGATGGCTACAATTGTATATTTATTTACACTAGTCACTTTTCTACTTCATCTGGATATTTGTATAGCTCTGCGCGGTTAGTGTTTCAAAAAAGGTAGCAAGAGAGAAAAGATTTAACATGATATATAACCAAAGCAGTCTGCCGTGCAAAATCCGCGAATTCCATAAAGCGATTTTGGCAAATAGCAATGTTTTGGGGGTAGTTATTAAGCCAAGTGGGTCGCAAAGGTTTAATCCGTTTAAGTTTTTGATGTGGGAAAGTTACATAAAGTTACAATAGTTTAAACTAATGTTAGCATTACAAAGAAAACTTACCTTTATAATTGATACTTAAGGTTAAAGGAGATCACGAATAAACATACAGTGAAACAGATAAGGATTTTTTCAGTCTCAAATTTTAATTATGATACGCCGCGTATATTCCGTTTGTAACTTTGACTGTTCCACAAAAGTTCACAGGAGGAGTAAAAATAAATTATGTAGGCACTTTTGTGCAAGTGTACTTTGTTGTCTGTTTAGAGTTAAAGTACTAATTATTCATTAACTTTTTTTTATCTTTCAGGACTGCGTGCCAACTCGATCTAAAGCGATACACATCGTGAGGCAGTCGTACGCTTTTGATATGGGCTTCGCAATGGTTCGACCTTTCATTAGCAAAAAGATATCTGAGAGGGTGAGTTGTACAAACATAGTGCAATCATAAAAACTAGACCACAGTTTTTTGGGTTTTTACTCAAATGTTTGTGGAGGTAATGGCGCCAATATTGCTGTAATTAGCTCATATGTCTTGTATTTTTCGTGTTGCGAAGTAAAATTGTTTGGAATAAAACAAAGAATAAGCTAATGAGAGTTTCCCAAGGCAGATATTTTTAAACACCATAAAAAAGCAATTTCAAAGCTTACTGCTGTTTAGCAAAACATTTTAATCAGAAAATAGTGCAAGACTATTCTAAAATGATGGAGAACAATGCATAGAAAATCCTGAGAAATCCGGACCCCACCTTCTTACACAACACAGTAAAAATTAATGTACTGTCGTTTTGTATTGCACAGCACTTTGCTTAATACTACCTATTTGTAACACAAGGCATACAACGATGTAATGATTTTCTGACGCTCCGAGGCAGATTAAAATGAATACATACATTATATTATAATATTTCCAGTAATTCAAAGGCGCAAAACAGCTGAACAATAATAACAACAATAATCCATGGAGAAGGGGACAAAGGAAAAGCACAAATCTCCAAACACAGCAAGATCACTGGGTGGCGACTGAAAAAGATCCGCCTTGTCCTGGGCCTCTGAACTTGTCAAATACAAAGTTGGGGTCGAAGTTGACGAAGTCGACCGATTGACCTATCACGACGATGACTTCGCGTTTTTTTCGCCGACGTCCCATTGGTGCGGTCTGTGAGCTTTCGGCTCCATCTTTATGTTTGAAGAGTTTAGGGCCCTTGATATCAAACCAGGGACCTCTACGTTTCCAGTGAAGCGCTCTACCAACTAAGCAAACGAGGAGTAGAGTAAGCGGGTTTTAACAGGAGCCACCTGTAAAACACCGGATGAAAGGGCTTGCAGGCCCTTCACCTTTGCTGGTGTTAGACTAATGGCTGTTTGCTCTACTGACGTTTAACTCCTGGTTAGCTCAGTTGGTAGAGAGCTCCACTGGAAATGAAGAGGTCCATGGTTTGATACCGTGACCAGGCGAATGTTTTCAGTCGCGTACCAGTCACCTCTCTGTGTTTGGAGATGTGCGTTTGTCCTTTGCCCCCTTGCTCCTCTTCTCCAGGGAATATTATCTTTATTAGTGTCCAGATCGGTTGCATCCTTGCACCATTGGCATTATCATCATATCCTTAAACAGAATGCAGGCCGTTCACCCTTGTTGGTGTTAGACTAGTCGCACCTGTTAAACCCCCTTTGCTCTACTGACGCATAACTCTTGGTTTGTTCAGTTGGTAGAGCGCTCCACTCGAAATCGAGTGGTCCCTGGTTCGATACCAGGAAGAGGCGGATTTTTTCAGTCGTGCACTGGTCACCTAGCTGTGTTTGGAGATTTGTGTTTGTCCTTTGTACCCCTTGTTCCCCTTCTCCGGGGATAATTATCGCTATACATACATAATCTTTGCTAGCGAGTCAGGAAATTAAATGAATATTTAGATGCAGCTTTTTATGCGTCCTAATAATACTTACTAGTATTATTCCGTGTGTTAATTTTCGCTCTTCAGTTAACACGGAAGTGTTGGCCTCTATGAAAAGCAGCATATAATTTCTTGTTTGCGAATTTTGACGTTATATTAATTGCTACGTGGGACATACCATGTTGATGTACGCTTTGTTTTAATTTTTGTTTTGCTTCATATGCCGGTTACTTACAGATTGGTAAATACGTTCACCTTCTGTACTACTCCCTCATACTCAAATGTACCATTGGGTTTAAATGAAAAGTGAACAGTGACGGCACTTCGAGCCCACTACCGGCGCAGATACCCGAAGGAAAAATCCATCAACGTAACCCTGCTTGGCAGTCAATGTTTTCTAGTGGACCGCTGACTGTGCCTGACTGTACGTCAAGCATGTCTGATTGGCCAACAAGTTACTCTGACCGACAGTCAAACTCCAGTCAGACTCCACTTGTCGGCTTTCTGATGGTTTCCTGGTGGCAGTCGGCCGCCGCGAAATGCCATCAGGATGTCTTGGTGGTGATTCTGACTGTACATCGATTGTCTCTGACTGTACGTCAGAAAGCTTTGACGTGCAGACAGACGTACGGTCAAAGGACCTAAAGTTCGTTCGGATACCACTATTTCGTCAAATCTATGAATACGAAAAGTAATCTATGCACGAGAAAACGATTTTGGGACATGAGCCCATAAAACCGCTGACGCTAGAGATATGACACGCAACCGACCGACAACCTTGATCAGAAGCCCGCCGAAGCGCCGAGCACGACACTTCGCACTTCGCTTTGCCCATAGAGGCTTCGCCGAGCTTTCATGAACGATCGCTCTCGACACGTTTTGTTTGCCCGCTTGCTCCAACCTGTAGATCCTGGCCGGGCTCTACAATGTCTTATGTTTTAGTAGAATTTCTACTCGACAAGACCCAGCCTGTTGTGAGTTCCGACGATGTAAGGGACTTTAGCGGTGTAGTTGAAGACGACAGGGTGTACCAGTTCTACTGGGCCGGTGATGCGCGAACAAAAGGATCGTTCTACGACGCGAAAGTACTCTACATGGCAGGTGAGTAGAACTGAAGTACGGCGAGTGATGTACGGGTGCTTTGCATAACATGCTGACGGCTTAACTGCATTTGCAGCCAAAGCATTTCGTATAAAACGAATCGTCAAATCGAGTGTCTGTGACTGTGGCGTAGCATAGCGGGTTCGATGCACGGTGGTGCTGCTTTTTTTTTTCTTTTTTTTTCACGAACATTTTGTTTTATCGAGGCATTTGGCGATATTTATGAGTGCGCATAGCTTTAATCTTATATAAATGCTGCCCTTGTTGACGAAAATCTCTTGGCAGTGGCAGTCAGACGTCATCTGATGGACCATCAGATGACGTCTGATGGTCCATCACGTTCCACCAAGGCTGCTGACTGGCAGTCAGCGTCCCAAATTACGTAGCTTGATGGAATTTTCGATAGGGTACCAAGCTTGGGTTGTGCTTGGCAAGGTTCAAACACATCGGAGTAAAACGCGCAACCTCGCAGCGCCCTCCTACCATGTGCTGGAATCACAACAAGCACCCCCCGAGCCTGGGAGCTGCGCCGGAAGTGGGCTCGAACTTCCGTCACTGTTCGTATTTCAAATGAATCCGATGGTACTTGCACCACCTAGGTGTCGCCTGTTCATATCCTGCCAAAATAACTTTTCCAAAGTGCAAAGTCCAAAGTCATTGATGGGCTGCTTCCTTGCAGCTCATCAATGAGAGCCGAATGGCGTCCTCGCAAAAGTTATTGCACGGGCCCAAAAAGGGGATGACCACTGGGCGCCAGATCGGCCAGTGCACATGCACGACCAAACACCTGATAAATCGTATGGCGCGTCGAAAAGATGGCCGAAACCAACCAGGTGCCGGCCCCTACCAAAACCTTATGTGGAAACCCTACCAAAACCTTACGTGGAACGCGCGACTCTTGTTTTTGCGTTTGCTGTTATTAGGGGCGAAGCTCCTTAGGGTCTAGCCTTGTCCGTCCGGCGTCCGTGCTCGCATCGATCTTGCTGGTGCTCGTGCTCGTGATCGTGAGCTCACGTGCTCACGTGCTCCTGTAGGGCAAAAAATAAAATAAAAAAATTATGAAAAAAAAATGTTTTCGCAGTTGACAGGATTCGAACCATCGCCTTCGCCATCGCCTTAACCACTCGGCCACACTGCGGGACGAGTAAGGGGCTCTGAGATGTGGTAGTAACTCAAAAGCTAGGGATGTCATGGATGAAACGTTGCATGTAGCCTCTCAACGTCTATACAGGAGAGGGCACTGTGGTCAAATGCGTATATAATCGCGTTAAACTTTGCATGCATTGGCTCAACGTTTATAGACGACAGGGCGCTGCGGTCAAATGCTCAAGTCCGTATATAACCACGTTCCATACCACACATTCTCTTTCTGACATGGATGAAAACGAACGAAAGGCTCGGCATGCTGCGGCTCAGCGTCTACGCAGACAAGCACCACCAGAGCTTTGCCCCAATCAACGTCATTCACCACGTGGAGATGCCGTCAATTTTTTTTCACAGATTAGATTTATTTATCGCGCCGACGGTAGCCATTGGGTGAGCCCGTCGTTAGACAGACATTTGGTACAATACAAACGTATGAGAAAACGCGAGTTTCTAGTAAGGTGCTTGCATCGAGTGAGTATGCGTTCATAAATTTTTCCCCGCAGATTCATTTCCACGGAGTGAATTTCGATGGTCTCTACGAAGACATGGCCGTCGACATGCTACCCAAGGAATATGGAGGACTGGGCCCCGATCTCGACATCGAAGCCTACTGGAGCGGTTTAGACCAGGCGGAAGAGTGCTTCGTTCAAAACAATCGCTATGGATATCATAAGAAGGAAAGCTGTAGCGATGAAATCGAGGTGACAGCTTTCTAGAGCGACGTCAAATACTAAAATAAATATGTAAATACTTGATAACGCACACCGAGGAATCAACTAAAATGAAAATAAAGGAAAACCAGAACGCACATTCAAAGTAGCTGGGAATACATGCATTGGGATTGATAGAACGTCGCAGAAACTTCGCCAAAGGTATGACAGGATAACTGCAATATAGGTGACAAGTTTCTGCAAAACCCTCCTGTCGTGAAAGTATTAAAAACAATGAAAGGAATGCTCAAAAACGTGTATAGATTAATTTAAAAAAAAGCGTAATAAGACAATAAGGGAAAAAATGATAGAAGTGATTTCTGTTGTCTTCATTTTTCTATCTTGAAACAGCTTGAATAAAACACGAACGGAGGAATGAAGTCGACGATGCAAGCACTGACTAACAACTGAGGGTTTATTCGGAATAAACCGCGAAAAAAAAAACCCATTAAACAACACGTGACTCTCTAATCATTACCGAATGGCGCCTGCGCATCACAGTTATCGTGTTGTATCAACATGGGACCAAAAGGCACGCGAAATTGTAAAGGTTCACAGAATAAAAAATTGAGGCTCAGCCTGCGTGAGTCAGGCTTTCTTGGCATTGCTGGAGCGTGAGATATAATTTATAGATCGGGGATGATCGTCCATGGAATTGTATGACAGATAGCACCCAATTTTGTGATGCGCAGACGCCATTCCATTGTTGTTAGAAAGTCATGTGTTTTTAAGCTTTTCTTTTTTTTCACGGTTTATTCAGAATAAACTTTCAGTTGTTAGTCAGCGCTTGTATCGTTTACTTTCCTCCATCCGTGTGACATTCGCGCTGTCTCAAGATGAACCCATATCAACTAGCCCAGTTATCTTGTCTCTTAAGCTTAATTTTTTTCTTATGCATTTTAGTTGAATATTGTTTGAAGCAATTAAAGAAGCGGCCTGGGTTTTGTTTTTCTTCTGGTAAGAGGTTTTTGCCGCCAAAGAATTTATCAAACCGTTTGACATCTCTGAAGAAACCGTACTAAGCCTATATCATACAGTTTTGTGTTATTGCTATACTGTGTTAAGTTTGATATTTTTTTGGCTGGGGGAGGGATTGGGGTTCAGGAATAAGCTGTTATTGAAATTTATATAGCCTCGTGGTTCAGATGGTTAGTTTTGTCAAAGTTCTATGCCAAAGCTCAAAGTAGGGCTACTACAAAAACATCTATTTGTGGCTATATAATTATGGTTCACAAACTGTAAACCTGGGTCAAGAGCAAGCTTCATTGAAGCTTTATGGACACCCCATTTTCTAAGTTCTGCAGAACTTTCGTAGACCAGACATATTAGCTAGAACGGAGACTGAGAAAACTGTTTTCATTGTAGAAACATTCCCGCAAGGGAGGCACTTAATCTATTATTTCCAGTGTTGCACGGAACGGCGTGTCAAGAAACGACGTTCTTGGAACGCGTTCCTCTTAGGAGGAACGGAGGAACGGCGCCGTTACATTTTGCATCGCTGGAACTGGAACGGAAACTTGTTACATTTTAACTGGAACAGAAAAAGGAACGGAGTTCCTTTTTTATCGTCCAGTAGGGCAATTTTTATTTTATTTCTAAGGTGTAAATTCTAAAACGGTATAAGCACAATATCATTACCAACAAGGTAGAGGGGCTTAGAGCGATAAACTGGCATCCTGTTCACAAGGCAAAAGTAACCGCCCACTTGGCTGGCGCCATGTTGTACAATTTTAACCACTAGACACGTGACAGTACCGAATCCTTCGACTTTTTCGCAAACCTGAGCCGAGATTTGTATGGCGATCGCTGTAAAAAACACGATAAACTATTTTTCAATACTGCCAGCCCCAGAGATCAGTATCTAGCTCCGATAAAAACCCAAAATATAGCACCGCGGCTGACGGCTTCTAGCAGATGCATCGCGAAGCTGCCCAAGTTTCTGTTGTAAGATCATGTTTCGGACATCAAACGAACGAACCACAACCTATCTCGTCGGTACTGTTATTAAAGATCAATATTCAGGTATCTGTGCGCGGTTCTTCGTTAAAATCAAGACGTGAAACTATACGGTCACGTGCCTAGTGGTCAAAAATGTGCAAGGTGGCGGCCAATCGGGGGTCACTTTTACCTGCAAATTTATCGCTCTGAAACCTTCTACATCGTTGGTCATCACAAAAAGCAGGGCCTCGTAAACATTTTTGTTACTTATCTTAGGGTTTATAGTATGGGGTTCTTGCTTGGTAACAGTTGGCGCAGAAGAGCTAGCGGACATGATTCTTTTTTCAGTGCCCGGGACTGCGGTACAAAAAGCAAAACTTTTAGTTGAAGGAAAAGACACAGAAAGAGGGACGTTTCAAGCTCAGCTACTTTCTTTGCTTCCACAAATATCCATACACCCAGAGAGCTGAGGCCGACTAAAGCCATCACTGAATTTAGAGAAAGACCCACAGTTACAACAAAACAAAAAGTTAACAGACATCGAACGGCCCCTTGTAACCCGAGCATTGGTCATTTAAAGAATATAAAAAAATTAATGTTGATTCCTTCTCCCCTTCTCTCCCACCATCAAACTGAACAACGAATTCAATCTTCGCGAAGGAGTACCGGTAGTTTTCAAGACTGACCTTCCAAAAACTCTACCCTCTTCTTCACTTGCTCGTCTTGCGGACAGCAACATCGAGAAGCAACTGTTATAAAATTCGAACAAGGGACTTTGTTAGATTGAAATATGTGAAGTTGTAAAACGATCGTGCAATGTGGGATAACAGTACATGTGGCTCGTTTGAATCGCCCACCAGAAACATTAATATTGTTAAAAGATGGGATTTTTGGAGGTGAATATATCAACAAATAAAACCCTGCTTCCGCTTGTTTTCTACTCCTGGGGCCTTAATCTGGACATTTGGCCAAACAGTTGGCGAGAAATCCGCCGCCGCGCTTGACCTTAGCGCCGGTCAATCACAGTCACGCTATTCCTCGCCGACTTTTTCGCCAAGTGTCCAGATTATGGACCCTTGTATCCTACGGTCACGGCATTTAAATTCGTATGTTGCCATTTAATGGAATAATTTAAAAAAACTCGCTGATTTAGTTGAGTATGGTAATCAGTAAAATAAAAATGTAACGTATATGTAACGATACGTTCCATTTTTTAAATTGTAACGGAAACGAGTTCTTTTTTGCATATGGAACTTGTAACGGGGAAGCGTTCCAAAAATCAGAAGGAACGAGGAACGAGCTTTCGTTCTTTTTTTCGAGGAGCGTGTGCAACACTGATTTATTTCATACCATTTAGTCACAAAATGATGGCTCCAGCAACGAGCACTGCTTACGAGGTGTGGCTAATAAATAACGGGACGTGCTCTGCAGAATTCTGCTTACAGCTTGCGTGCGTCATACGTGGTCCTAACCCCGCAGGGGGCACCTGTGAAAGCAGGTGTTTCGAGAGTGGCGTCTCCACGGACCCCGAGCCCCGCAGGGGGCGGCTGCAGCTTAGGTGCTACGTGCTAGGTGAGTAGCGTCACCACGGACCTCAGCCACGTGGGCCATCATACCCGCACACAGGGGGCACCTACTTTAGTAGGTGCTTGGTGAGCGGCGTCACTTGCAACCCCGAGCCATGTGGGTTCGCCCACCCACGTCTGGCTGTGCGTGGCTTAACCCGTGTCCGGGGAAAAGGGGACCCTCATGGTAAATCTGAGCCCGGGGTATGTTTGGACCATTCGGGGCTTACCGGGCGAGGCAATACACCGCTTCGGCCCCTGCTTCTCGTAGACGGGTGTCCTGGCTTGGCGCGACCGGGTGATTCAGTTCAGTCGCCTCTTCTACTCTACTCTTCCTTCTTTCACTTTTCCTCCCATCTCTTTCTCTTTTCTTCTATACTCTCTTCCTTCCTTTTTTCACCTTTTTAGGCGGCAAGGGCCAACCTTGAGTGGATACAGGACCTGTCCTTGCAACCACACTAGGGTATAGTGCCCGGGCGCACAGGTAGAGTAATTGTGTCAGCCAAGCCTTTCTTGCTATGGCACATTACCTACCTTCTTGTTGGGCTCCGTGGTGGGCGGTGCACCCGGGCACTGAATGTTCTCCCCCATCTCTATGGGTTGCACAAAAACTCCTTCTTTGATCGGCCCCCGAAAAGAGGTCGCACCGAAGCTTCTACCTCGCACGAAACACATTCTACTCCATCTAGATTCCCGAAGTTCTTGGTACTCCACTCTGAAAGTGACTAACCACTCTCGAAAATGTCACCATTTCTTGTTGAGAAGGTCCTCGAGGATGTGATTGGAAAGAACTTTAAGGCTAAGAAGCTGGCATCTGGCGATTCGCTTGTAGAAATTGATACCAGCCACCAGAGTTCTGCGCTCCTTGCACTCAACTGTGTTTCGGACTACAAGGTTACAGTCGGACACCCCACAAGACATTGAATACCATCCAAGGAGTCATCTCAGAGGACGACCTTCTGGACGCGTCTGAGAGCGAAGTAGAGGAGGCCCTCTCTGACCAGGGGGTTGTAGCTTGTGGGATTCGACTTGCCTTACTGCACCACGAGGTCGATCCCACTCCGTAGCTCGATGTTGAGGACTGCTACGGCCGGGTCCGTCCGGAGGCTGCCGTGGACTCCGAGGAGAGGATTCACTCCAAAACACAAAGATACTGAAGAAGCGGGTTTATTCGGCTGTTGTGCCACCACGCTGTGCCCGTCGGCCAAACTAATAAAAGAAAAGAACGGAAAAGGGTCGGCGCTGTCGCATTAGACAGATTCACCTGGAGGGGGCCCACGCTGCCGCATTAGGCAGATTCGTGGAAAGGGGAAAGCTCCAAAAAGAACGAGGCTCCGTGGCCCAGAGCATTCCCCGGACGAGAGAGGGGCCGCCGTTCGCGGCCGCTTATCTAGCCAGCGGAAAGTGGACGCGCCCGGGGTAGGTAGTGTGGCTTATCCCGCAGATGGGCCGCGTCCACAATCATTTCCGAAGGGTGCGCCGGAGGCACTTTCACCCAAAAGG